TCTGGAGTCACCCCAGCATGGAGAACAATTCTCCTTCTTCTATAGCATGTCATGGAGCCAGGAGACCATAGGCATCTGGGCAGAAGTACATATAGCAGTCAGGTAGTCATGGAAGGACCTGCCTGCAGTCTCAGCTTCAGATGTATGTACCTCTCCACCTCCTCCTGGGTTTAGGGACGGGCACAGGGAAGGATGTTGTCAAAAGACTACACATTAGAACAAAACAACCCACACATATACGAATATATCATAAATAAACTCATTATTCTGTATGCAAACTTATAAATTTGTTAAAAAAGTGTAAAAAAACAGTGTCATGCTTTTACTGTGTCAACACACTCCTGTTCTCCCCATTTTACTCACAGTAAACATAAAGTCCCTTGCTTGGTCTACTGTTCATCACTGTCTCTTCTATCCTTGTACCCTGGCCTCTGACCATCTTCCTCTTCCTCCCGCACCCTCCAGTCTGTTGGCGTCTCAGCCAGGCTCCCTCTGCCTCTTGCAGACTCCACTGAATGTACCTCCCTAGAGTCCTCTTCTACTTCCTCACTCATGGCTCATTCCCTTCACTTTCTTTTATTATGTGTTTAAATGTCCCCTTTGTGCAGCTGACTTGGGGGCAGTTCCATTGAAATTACCAGCCCCTTGTTCTCCTGGCTGCTCTCCACCTTGTTCCATTTGGAGTTCCTCATGGCATATGTCTCTCTTACAATAATATATAATTAAATGTTCAGGAGATGGAGCACACAGTAGACCAAACAGGGATAGCTAATACAGTGAACACTTAACACAAGTGTAAGGAGAGCTAGAGACACTAACAGAGGGTTACAGACATCAGGGGAGGAAACCGTTTTGCATATGGATCCCTTCCACCTGGTTGGTCGAGCCATGATGGGGATGGTGTTATAGCATGGCATCTTGGCAAAGTCATTTCTCAGTTCTGGTTTTTCACTATCCTGTTCATTGCTCATCATGAGAATTGGGTTTTGTTTGATTTCTGCTGCTTTGATTAAAAAAAAAAAACTGACCCAATTAAAGTTGGGGGAGAAAAAGGTTTATTTCATCCTACAACTTCCAGGTCACCATCTGTGATAGGAGAAAGCCAGGTAGCAATCTCAAGACATGCATATGGAGGCAGGAACAGAAGCAGAAGCCACGGCGGGAGGAGTGCTGCTCACAGGCTTGCTCCTCATGACCTGCCTAGCCGCTTTCTTCTACTGCCCAGGACCAACTGCACATGGGTGGTACTGCCCACAATGAGTCGTGTCCCCCCACATCAGCTGTTATTCACGAACATGACTCACAGACTTGCTTACCTGCCAGTCTGATGGAGTAAATCCCTCAACTGAGATTCCTTCCCAGAGGGGCCTAGGTTTGTGTCAAGCTGACCTAAAAACTAACCAGCACAAAGGACCACTCATCAACTCAATGCCTAAATACACCAGTATTAAACCATAGTCTTTCCTTTCTATTTGTTCCCCAGCTGTCAGGTTGATGTTAATATCACAATATAAAACCAAAACAACTTTGAAAGTCCCATAGTCTTCAAAAATTCCAACATTGTAAAAAATTATGTTCCCTTTAAAAACCCAGTATCTCTTTCAAAGTTCAAAGGTGCTCAAATGTGGGTTCTTGTGAATAGAAAATACCCAGTAAAATACTTCCTGCTCCACATGGGAAGAACCAGGACACAATTACAACCAACACAAGCTACAACCAAAATTCAACAGTGCAAAAAGTGCTTGATGTCTGGGACCTATGTATAATTCTTTGGACTTAGGGGCCTGTACAGAAAGCTCCACTTCCCAGCCTCAGCATTCTCCAGAACAAATAGCTCACGTCATAGTCTCAGACCATCCCCCAACTTACATATGCTGCTGTCTTTGGCAGTGATTATTCGTGGTACTGGTGTCTCCAGTTTTCTGGGGTCTCTATTGCAACTGAGGCTACACCCACACCCATGGTCTTTCTTCAGGGCTCCAGCCTCAGCTTCTCTCCACGATCTCTTCATACCTTCAAAACCAGCACCACCTAGAACTAGAGAGATGGTTCAGTGGTTAAGAGCAGTTGATGCTCTTGCAGAGGATCAGGGATTGACTCCCAGTACCCCTATCGTAGTTCAAAACTATCTATAATTTCATTTCCAGGGAATCTGATGACATCTTCTAATCTCTGTGGGCACCAAGCACACAGTGCACAGACATACATGCAGCCAAATCCCTCACATGTAAATTGAAATGAATAAATCTAATAAAACTTATATAAAATCTAGCACCACTTGGGTGACTCTTACACATTACTAAGTTCAGATAAACACATGAGACGCAGCCTTAGTTCCCTCTGGACTACAGCTTCTGTATGCTGTCCCTGAGGGAATATTCACAGAAGACTGTATCTCAGTGATTCTGGTCTCTTTTTCAATCACTGCTAATTTCTCAGCTCCAGATAACCAGCGCAGATTGTCCGAGTGAAGCAGTGGTTTCTCTTCAGTGGTGCTGGTCTCTGGCTGATCACAGCCATTCTTCCGCTCCAGCTGATCAGACACCATAGATTATTAATTCAAAATAACACAAACTGGCCCAGGTAGAGTCTCTGCTTCCCTCTGAACCTTCACAAGGAAGTCCTTCATCATCTGCTTTGCTTTCACCTTTCCTTCCTTCCTGTCTCTCATGGAAGCACCATTGAGCTTTTATCAGCCAATGGCTTTTCCAGTCCAAAGTTCCAATGCCACCACAATCCTCCCCAAAACACAATCAGGTCTGTCATAGAAATTTCCCACTCCTGGCACTTGGTTCTGTCTTAGTTCCTTTCCCCTTTGGTGTTAAGCTTTCAGTTAAGCTATCAAGACCTCCCTGTCTATAAATGCTGTGTAACACCCAGACACTGGACCCTGCAGTGAGGCACTTAGAACTTAGCAGCATCTAAAAGGTGCTCACACTGAGGTTCACATTTCAGGGCACTGAAGGATGTGACCAGAAGTGGTGAGACTGGGAGCTGTGGAGTTGGGGAACCCTGTAATAACCACCACCAGAATGAAATGGGGTCACTCAGAGAAGTGTCTGTGCCATGACACACTGTGGACAGGGAACCCTCTCTCTCCTACCTTACCATCTTTCCACAGTGTCTACCTTGGGTTGGCACCAGCCACCTGCTTTTTGACTCCTGAGAACATTGACTGTCTGAGGACTCCACATGATGCCCTGTCTCAGTCCCCAGGGAGTGACCGCCATCCCTGCCTCACCTACTCTAGATCGATTCTCTCATTGCTTTAACTATTGGGTATCTGAGCATAGTTGGCAGAACTCAGCTCACAGGCTCACAGGGAATGACAGGTGGGTGATAGGAGTGCAAGTGGCTTCAATCATACCACGCGTGAGATTCATGATTTGTCAATCACTTTTGTAAAGGATGGAATCACATACACCATTGTCACAAATGCTTTCATCCATGATCCACATGCTGAAGTATAAGCTATTTGATTTCAACCAGCAAGAAAACAATCAAAAGAATCCTTGGCACCACAGACCTGGAGACTGCAACCTTCTCATTATTCTTTGCTTCTAAAGAGCACAGGCCCTGCCCTTTCCTGCCCTTGGGATGACAGACTTCCTGCTCAGCAGCACCTGGCGTGCTGGGTTCAAGGTCTAGGTCATGCGAGCACCTCATCAAGAGCCAAGGCTTGTCAGAGAGTGCTCATTAAAATTGTTTATAGATATGAGTAGCTGTCTATCCTGAGTCTATATTGTTTATATGTAAGTGAGGTTATCCAGCCTGGGTCCACAGAGGCACAAAGATGCCATTGTGGGACCAGGACCTGTCAACAGATCCTGGGCCAGCTGGGTCTCCAAACAGGACATTGAGGGCCAAGAATTGCAGAATGGGTAGGCAGCAGACAGAGCTCCTGCTAGGGAGGGAGCTGGGCTGAGTCCTTAGAGAGGGCAGACAGGGCAGCTCAGCCATAGACTCTGGATTCAGGGGGCTCTGGCCACCTTGTGCCCCTCTTGCCCTTTTGATTCAAAGGGACCTAGACTTGTGGTCACCTTGGTGGCCTGTCGGTGTTCAGACAAATGGGAGTGTTAATTTTAGTTTGATGGGGACTCCTGTCTGAGAAAGGTGATGCAATTGTACAAACACTGGCTCTCAACTGCCTGCGTCAGACCTAAGACCTATCACAGGCCACAAGATGCGGAAGGGGCTTCAATTGTGCAGCATGGGCTGAGGCTCCATCACTTCTTTCAGCAGGCCCTCCGATCACCAGCACAGCAGCTTATCCTCTGTTAAAGTCGCTGCCCTTGACATATCCCTTCGTGAACACACAATCATGACCCCCTGATGTGTATGAGCTTCACTGTAACACTGTGGAGCACAGGTTTCAACTCCACACTTCTCAGGAGTTTAGAACGTGACACAGAAGGTAGATGATGGGTAGTGGTGAGGAAGAAGGAGTGAGATGCTTGAGAGTCAGAAGGGCAATAATAGAGCCCAGATGGCTCCAGGGGCAGAATGCAGCAGTTCAGGTGACTGCGGGCTTGAGAGTGGCTAGCGGCTTCTCTTTCAGGAGACCTCGAGTCATCACATGTTGACCCTACCCACATTTAGGAAGGGCTTCCAGGCATGAGCAGCAGTGAGGTGATGTCCTCGAACAATGTGGGCTCTGGGAATCAATGGGACTGTGCACGGAGAAGAAGCTCAGTCCCTTTCTGATGAGGAGGAGCTGACAAGCCACCTTCCAGAGAAGGTGGCCAGGCCAGTCACGGTGCCCAAGGGGTAAAGCAAAGCTAGCGATTGAACTCAGCATTCCCTTACTGGCCCAGAGTGCAGACTCTGTCTCCCACCCCACACCTGAGCTGATAGGACCTTTGTGTGTTGTTTCTTAGGCTCCTAAATGTTTTCAGCCTTTGGAGACAGACAGCTTCTGCTTCAACTAGACCACAAAACTGTAGTTATACTTGAATTTTAAGGAGCATGGGGTTGGGGAATGGAGCCTCACCAATTTGGGGCTTCATCTTGGTCTCTGGGATGTGTGTTCAGGCTGCATGCCTATGGGCAACCTGGGAGAGACTTGGGTTGGGCAAATGTGGGCTCAGGACTCTGTCTGCTACAGCTCTCAGGTGTCTGGTTCATAAAGGCCATAGTGATTCAAAGGAACCTGGCAGAGAAGAGGAGACCTGTGGTAGTGTTCCCTCACAGAGTGACATGCCCGGAACAAGGAACTTTGGAGATCAGGACCACTGTCATGTGAGTGCTCCCCATGTGTCTTTTCAACTTTATCTCCCCTCCTCTGTCTGTGTTTGGACACTGGTGACAGAAAAGGCCTTTCCTTTGAGGGACCACAGTCTCAGCATCCTAAAACTTGGAGGGTTTGATACTGGATTTCAGGGGTCATTGTTCTAAGGCTGATGAACCAGGTGATCCCAGTAGAGCACAGGCATGTGTTCTGAAAGAGGCTGCTGGTTGGTTTCCTGTTTTCCAGGTCTGAGGGCCAGTGCATTAAGGTAGGATTTCGCATCCAGAGAACAGAGGAGCCTGGTCAATACACCACCTGTGAGTCCCTGTCTCAGTTTCTTATCCTGTTGCTGTGATAAAAACTAACACTGCTTAAGGGAGAAAAGGGTTTACTTTAGCTCACAGTTCAAGGTACAGTACAAAATAGAGGGACATCCAGGCAACTGGAGCATGAAGCAGCTGCTCGTCATACTATACCCATAGTCAGAAGACAACAATGAATGCATTCACACCAGTGCTCCGATGGCTTCACCATTTTACACAGTCTGGGATCTGATGCCCAAGGAATGCTCCTGCCCACACTGAAATGATTCTTCCACAATCTATTAACACAATCAATATCACACCCATGGTCATGGCCAGTGGAGCATATCCCAGATTATTATCCAACATGGTACCCCTGGCTGCACTTGATTATACCTTGCTAGGCAAGCTTTGGGGTTGCAGCATCCCTGCCCTATTTACTTTTCAGGAAGACCTACCCAGCTAATTCTCAGATGACTTTAGAAATCACAGGCTGGTCAGCAGAAGAGACCATGCTTCCTTTTAGACAGCTCTGTCCACTAGCCAATAGGGAGACTGAAGCTTAGGATTTAGGAAGCAAGGCATTGTAACTGCTTGGGAGGACATTCAGGCACAGCCTCCATCTTCCATGACACCTATGGTCCTGACTCCATAGCTATGGATAACACTTTTTCAGGAGGAACATCTGTCTTGTCATGGGGCCAAAACGAGGCCTGGAGTCAGCTGGCTGTGTGCTCATGGTTTATTCTAGACTGTTCCTTAGTGTGGGCTGAATGTTGTCTTTGAAAAAGACACTATACACCCATTTCTCTTTAATCTGCAGTTTCAGGCCATAAGATCTTCTATATCTATGAGCTGCTGGTGAGAAACCACTACATCTTATACACTGAAACCTTTTGTTTGAGAAAAATTTCCAAGACAGACACCTCATAGGTGGGGACCTCAGAGACCCCACCTCCTGCCCATGCCCTTTACTACCGTTAGCTATTTGAATGTGCACAGCTATCCCCTGGCACCCTGTGTGTCCCTCTAGCAGCTCTGGATGAGTTGCTGTGTGGTAAGTGTGCATGCTCTGAAGTGGGAAGGTGTGATTTGTGCAGAACTTCCATGAGCAGATGTGGCCTTGAGCACTGATGTAGAGAACAAAGATCCTTGTGCACACAGATAATCACTGGAGGAAGCCAGGAAAGTTTAACACAAAGCTCACCTCTTCAAGGGTATGTGGTGTAGTTGCTCTTCCTAGAACTCTAGGGATGATGTTGTTTTACAACCTGGTGATCCTTTGCTGTCTGATGGGACAGGCTCTGCCTTGTCTTCCAGAATTTAGGCTTTTAGTTACCCAAGACCTTTCTCCCTACATCTTGAGCATTGCTTTTAGACCATAAAACCCACTCTTGAGTTAGGTCGTTTGTGCTTTACAACATCCTAAGTGACTTCTGTGTTATCTTAGGGCCAGGCCAATCCTGACACCCACAGGCACTGTGTTTACCTCAATCAAGCACCCTAGACCCTAAATCTTGGGCACTATCTCTGAATCAACAGTGCCCATTCTTGTGAAAGAAGCCAGATGTACTTTGTAAGGAATCTCAATGTAAAAATGCACTTGGGACTGAGTTAATTGTTATCTGAATATTTCTTTCAAAGGTTGTGCTGTGCTCAAATATTCCTAAAGTAACATGATCTGGGCCAGACTCTAGAAGTCCTGGATCAGCACCAGTTACAATAAAATTGTTTCAGTCTTATCTCCTTGTGGATCATTTTCTCCCCTGCCTACTGTAAAGCTTGCAGGGGAATCACCACACACTGACCAATAGGGCAGAAATTACAGCCAGTCACTGGAACTTCTACATGTCCTTTTCTGGGTTCTCAGGTTTCATAGCATTAAAAGACAGGTTCTTCATTAAAAGACTGTGTCCTAACAGATACTTTTTTTTTATTTTTCCATTTTTATTTGAATTAGAAACAAGATTGTTTTACATGTCAATCCCATTTCCCTCTCCCTCCCATCCTTCCTCCCCCAACAACTAAAACCCTACCAATCACATATCCTTTCTCAGGGAGGGTGAGGCCTTCCATAGGGGCTCTTTAGAGTCCGAACAGATACTTTTTATGAACATGGGTCCCTAGAGACAGGAGGCAGACTACTGGCCCTGAAACAAGCTTCTTCCTGATTAAGGCATGGCATTACTTGTCTGCTTAGGAAGTCACATATGTTTGGTCATACAGTAGCCCTTTATATCAGTGATACCCACTTCCTGTGGTATCCATCCAATGCTCACCCTAAACTTTCCTCCCCTCTTTCTGCCGTCTACTTCAGCTTGAAGGAGGCCCCAGGGTTGGGCCTCCTTCATGCTTTTGTCTTTGTGTCACTGGCTCCCAACAGAGCTGTGTAGTCATGCCCCCTTGCTTATCTGGCCTCTGCTGACAGGAAAGTGTCCAAAAGAAAACCTGGAGGTCCTGGAGGAATTTAGGAAGTTCACACTGAGAAAAGGATTTCTCCTAGAAAATATCATTGTGCCTGAGCAGAGGGGTGAGAAAATGCTCTGCCCCTTCCCCCATGTCCCCTTTGTGTCACCCATGATTCTGTAACTGTTGTGTAACCATGTGCCTTCCTTCACCAGCAGGGCCCGTCTTATGATCTTAATCATGGGGCCATCCAAACTGCAGGTGTAATGTGGGTCTTCACCCTGGACACCTGGACACCTTCTTTTTTTTGTGCAAATTTTTTTTATTTTAATTAGAAACAAGATTGTTTTTCATGACAATTCCAGTGTCCTTCTCCCTCCCCTCCTCCCCTACCACCCCCACCCCAACAAAAACCCTACCTATCACATATCCTTTCTGCTCCTCCTGGATGGTGAGCCCTTCCATAGGGTGTCATCAGAGTCTATCATATCCTTTGGGATAGGGCCTTGGCCCACCCCTGTGTGTCTTGGCTCAGGGAGTATTCCTCTATGTGGAATGGGCTCCCAAAGTCCACACCCATGCTAGGAATAAGTATTGAACTACTACAGGAGGCCCCATACATTTCTGAGGTTTCCTCACTGAAACCCACGTTCCTGGGGTCTGGATCAGTCCCGTGCTGGTATCGCAGCTGTCAGTCTGGGGAGCAAGGGTTCCCCAATGTTCAGGTCAGCCGTTTCTGTGGGTTTCACCAGCCTGGTCTGGACCCCTTTGCTCTTCACTCGTCCTTCTCTGCATCTGGATTCCAGTTCAGTTCAGTGAGTAGTTGTGGGTGTCTGCTTCTACTTCCACCAGGTACTGGATGAGGGCTATCGGGTGGCATATAAGTCAGTCATCAATCTCATTATCAGGGGAGGGCATTTAAGGTAGCCTCTCCTCTGTTGCTTAGATTGTTAGCTGGTGTCATCTTTGTAGATCTCCAGACCTTTCCCTAGTGCCTGATTTCTCTGTAAACCTAAAATGTCTCCCTCTATTATGGTATCTCCATTCTTTAAAAAAAATTTTTTTTTATCAGTTCAAATTAGGAACAAGCTTGCTTCACATATCAATCCTTTCTCCCTCTCCCTCCCCTCACCCTACCCCTCCTCCCCCACCCTTGACCTACTCCCCACCCCATCCACCCC